CGGGCAGGTGTGGACGTGCTGGGGAACCCGTAGCTGTCCACCGGGACTTATTTTCCTGAGGGCTGCCGCTTAGCACCAGCCAACAGTCCTGAGGGTGTTTGGCACCTCCGTGGAAGGAAATGAAGCTGAGCTGTGGCCAGCCTTTCTCCTAGAAATGTGTTAGGGTGAGTCGTCAGAAAAGTTATGCCGTATTTTTCTATGCAGAAATGCATCGTGACTTTTCAGCAGCCCCGTAGAATGAAGCCCTGTTGTGATCAGATCCATGTGCCGACAGAGACCTGCCCTCCAAGCCGTTCTGGGTTCTGGTGGGGGTTCCTGAGCGTGTAGGATAAGACCAGTCAGCAGAACCGGCGTGCGCTGCCTCCTGTGTGGGGCCACAGCAGTGGGGAGTTAGAGGAAGGACAGCCCAAGTGCCTGCGTCTTTGAGGGTAAAGAACACGCGGGACGGGGCCAGCAGGTGGCTTGGTGGTTAAGGTGCTGGACACTCCCACATGGTCGACCACGGTTCAAGTCCCAGACCTGGTGACTTGCTTTCTCACTTTCCCTCGCTCTCTCTCTCTGTGTACAAATTTAAATAAATGATGAATAAATAAAATACAAAAAATAAAAAATAAAAAAACCCACGCGAGACTTGGACACAGACCCATAGAAGCCAGTTCTTCCCACTTTGCAGGTGGATTAGAATTTCACTGTAAGTTCAGATAAATAAGCTGCCTTTTTATTTATTTATTTTAGTATTTCCAGAGGGCATCTGCGCTCATGGAAAGAGACAGAGACAGAGGGGAGGGAGAAGGCGCCTCGCTCAATGGGTGTGGTCATGCCACAGTCCCTTCGCCATTTCTGCGTTCTCTTGCCATTTGGGGCATGCATGCACACACACCAGTGTTTTTCAAGCCTCCAGGTCCAGGATTTGAACCCCACTGTTGGCCACGTGGGATCTAGCATCCTGAACCACTAGGCCACAGAGGCCCACCGTTCCCTTTTTTACTTAGACAATGAATTTTGCTTTGCATTGGTTGGGTTGCTTTTGTAATTCTATTTCCCTTTCAAGAATCTTCAATTCTGCATGAAGTTCCGGCCCTGGGCATGAGGACCAGAGGCCCTGGAGTCCTTGATCTCTTCTTTTCCCATCTGAAAAGAAAGCTCAGAACACCTGCTGCACCCCTGGGGAGACAGTGCTGCATAAGGATGCAGAGTCATGGGAACCAGCAGTTAGCGTAATGGCTATGTCGCTGGACTCCCACGTAGTCGACCGCGGTTC